CTAAAAAGATTTAAGGCTAGCGAGATCTTAGCACTGAAAAGATGTGCTGAATGGATGAAAAATATCCAGTTAAAGTGTTACAACATGTAAGTGAGAGAATAACAAAGGATGTGAAAGTCTAGATGTCAGCTAAACGTTAGTTAATGAAATGAAACATGGCCCGTAGGAGTAGAGGATTTTCGTAGATTACTAGTATTCGATCATAGGCGTCTTCGAAATATTGCTCGTATATCCTGGGAACACCGAGTAAGTAATTCAGTTATTAGGAAACGGGTACCAGGTAAGGATGACAAATCAATTGATGACGTAGTGAAACTTCAGCATTTGAAATGGCTAGGACATGTGTTACGCATGCCCAACCACCGACTGCCTCGTTGTGCGATGTTCAGTGGTATAGAAGTAGGTTGGAAGAAAGCTAGGGGCGGCCAGACCAAAACATGGCACAAATCCATGAAGTCACTGACAAGCGGACTGAGTCATATCGGTAGGTGTAGACTACCTGGTTGGGGACCGCAAGATGATAACAACCGATGATTAGAGACCCTGAATGACATGGCTCAAAACCGTTTGCAATGGCGCAGATGCATCCACTCTTTGTGTTTTCCCAAATCCTAATCTTCTGAATTCTTCATATCCCTTTCTTTTTTTCCCTTTCCAAATTTATTTGACTGGATTATACTCCTTGAATAACATCTTCAAGCCCTAATGTTTCCGATTACTGCTTATACTCTTACCACCTCTACCACTATGGGATTTGCATCGACCACTGAATCTCTGTTCTAATGTGTTATGGCGACTCGAACTGATGTACTTACGTACGAAGTTCTACGTTATTACTGACTGACTAATGAAATGTAATAACCATATACACCCAAATGAAAGATTTGTTTATTGTTTAGACTTGATAATGCACTACAAGTGATTAGGATTAACAAATCTCTAAACAAATTGCTCGTATTAGTAGTATATACTATGATCTGTTACTAAGATGCAAGTTTGCTGTGTGTCAATTTGATCAAATCACGATACACTGTAGAGATCATGTTTTATATAATTGTAAGCTTCTCAAATTGAACTACAAATATTGTATATGGTTCAATTGACTCTTAGTTCCAAAAATGTTTTACTTTTTAAAACTCTGAACATATCCCTGTTATTCAGAAACCTTCACTGAACTGCAGCTTTAGTGACTTTTTCAAAACGTTAGAATCTGTAAATCGAAAATGTTCGTGGTTTGCATTTGTTATTCAAACACATATTTAATCGCCAGTGTCTCTTTTATTTAATTGATGATTTGTAGTTCAAAATTTCCATGATAGTATGTAGCGAATGTGCTCATTCAAAATGAGCAGGTCAAATTATATTTAACATTTGTGTCAAGCAGTGAAATCTGAGACCTGGGTTTCATTTAGTTAAATACTTGTCATCTAGATTTAACTCAACTTTGGTATTGGTGTTCCCACTGAAGCTCACATCGTCTACTCATGGCTTCAAATACCAAAGCATTAATCAGTAGGTTACTTGACTACGATGAACACCATTTGTTCAGCAACTATTGTATTTCATTAATTGTAATCATGTCAGTTTTGACATTTGTGATATTAAGTAATTAACTGACAAGATTTTGCTAGTATACAGGTTACTTGAATATATACTTTAATCCTATGATTATTTATGAAAAATATATCGAATTCATTCATGAAACGTATATCGCAACAGATCCTGATCAATGTAGCCGTTTGTAAAGTATCAACATTTTGAAGTACATATATATACAAATGATGATACCAATTTACAGATATGATCTGGTTTATGCATAATGAGAAACAATATTTAATGTAAATACAAATACATTATTTGAAGTGACATGACTTATAAACTCTATTCACCGATGATTTGCTACACAAAATTGTAATTCATTCGATACACAAGGAATAAGGAAAAAAATGCATCATCATCTATATAGTACAAGAATAAAGAAATGGTAACATTTATTAGTCACATAAGCATATCATTGTTATTAGTAAGTAGTGTATGAAAAACATAAAATGTACTAAGAATATGATATGAATACGTCATTTTGAATATTTTTGAAATCTGAAACCTTTCACATAAAATATACTTCCAACAATTTATTCACTAATAGTATATCTTGACATTCTACAACAGTTTCGTGTTCATCACTAATTGGCGTCATTGTTGCTAATAGTAGGAATAGATAGCATAATGTTAGGTAGTTTCACTATAGTTAAACGTTCCACATAATCATCCACATCACTATTTTGTATAGTATATTTGAAAAGTTCTTTGATTTCTAGTATAAAATAAAAGCTCAAATGACTTGTTATTACTTATGGTTTATTTTTCAGACTAAAGATAAACCCTTTCTTTCCTGAAAAATTTCATTGTATCTAGTACAATAAGACAAATTAAGTGATTAATATAAAGATTAAAACACAATGATCAGTAATGAACAGATAAGAGTAAAATGTACAGTGTTAATAGAATTGTCTATTAAATTTTTGATTAAATAAAGGTTTTAAGGGAGCGGAGTGACATTTTAGTCTTTTGAATAAAAAGTTCAAATATATCATATAATGTGCATAAATGTTACCGATTCAAGATGGATGATAGATAATCACTAATGGGATATTTTCTTATGTATAGATACATATTCATGTTGTGACAAGTTAAGAATGAAAACAAAAGGGAAATGTGTTGTAACATAGTACATTGTTTAACTGACGACTCTTTGATATGACCGAATATATGATACTAGGACGAGACGAACCATCCAATGCTTCCAGGTTTTCAATGGTGGTCTAGTTTGAATCGACTCATGAATTCAACTATTAAAAAAATTACTATAATCTCCATAAACCCCTATTCAAATATTTTAGTAGATAAATTCTAGTTTACTTGACTTACTGTTATTGTATTTATTTATAGCTTAAACTAATTCTCTATGATACGTTTATGATACACCAAGACTTATCTATCATATAATGATTAGAATAGTTATAATGATTAGTTCACTTTGTATTGTTTTACTTGAATCTTCCCATTGATGTTTTAGGACTGAAATTGATCAGTCTCTTATTGGCATATGTGCATACTGTGCATATGCCTCGATATTGTCTCAATTTAGAAGCGTTATAAGCAAAGATGGATAGCAACTAGCAGTAGAATCCAGGAGACGCACTTCATCTTATTTGAGACTCGTCAACTGGATGTACCTGCATCTCAGAGTTGATGTCCACTCTGGGACTCGAACTCAGTACCGTTCGCTTCAAACGCCATCGCGTTATCCTTTTAGCTACTGAGTCCTGATATGACTGAAACTGATCAGTCTCGTTTGAAGCGAACGTTATTGAGTGAGTCCCAGAGTGAACATCAACTCTGAGATGCAGGTACATTCAGCTGACAAGTCCCAAACAGGACGAAACGGGCGTCCTGGATTCCACTGCTAACCACTATCCATCATTGGTTATAACGATTTTCTTGTTGTTGTTAAATTATAGATATGCATTCTATTGACTAAGATTTATATTTCAATCAAAATGGATTACAATAAAATGTAATAATGAATTTTATGCTTAACAATCAAATAAATCTCTTCATGTAATTTGTAAATGTCTTTTATTTGAGATTTAAATTGATGTATTGGAATAATTGGTACATCGACTAAATGTTATGTATAAAAATTAGGACTTTTGAGTGGACTTTTATGTAATGATTCAAATCCAACAATTTATCATTGGCTTTACTAATGTTTTGAAGAATCCACTTTTTTTCTTCTACATTATAAGCAACTGGAAAGTTACTGATAACTATATTTGGTTCTGTATTGATTGACCGTTGAATATATACTAATTTAATGTTTGTTTAATCCTTTAGCATTGATCGAATTCTAGAGATTAAATTATGATTTAATCACTAGTCTAAGTGACTCGATAACGTATACACTATGCTTTTCACGTTAGATAGTTTGAACTAATTACTAAGGATTTCTGAACTCATGTTTAATGCCAGTTGACACTAGTCATCAATTGGAAAACTAATGCGCTCTGTCAAATTCAATGATGTAACATTTAGTTTTGCGTTATCCTTATAATCTTGTTTAACAGCAATGAATCGCTCAAATGAATTTTTGATTGGTAAAATATCACAACAGAAATAAAAATTTAACACTGGTTAACGTTAATTATTCTCATTGCATTATCGAAATTTATCAAAGGGACTAATTGTTTTAAATGTATTCAAAATAGTTCATATGACTATCTATATGAAGTTTGTGCTGATGTCGTTCAGAAGAACGATGAAAGCTCCACGACTAAACTATCCAGCTCAGAGAACAAAACTCCATCAAAATCTTTATTATTTGTCTCGAATATCATGAAACCTGTTATTGTGAAAAACAGATTTTGAACACGTATTTTAGCGTTTACTAAGGCTCTCAATATTAATGTCGTTTATAAGTCTGCCCATTGATGCTGTAAGAAAATTATTGATAAATATAATGTCTCAATAGTTGAGATCAGTAGTCAATTGAAGCTAGACCACCATGGAAAACCTGGAAGCACTGAACAGCTGTTTTGTCCTACTTTGGCACTCCTCAGAAGTGCTCATCCACGATCCCGCCTCACCGGATTCGAATCCAGGACCTATCGGTCTCACGTGCGAGCTCTTAACCACTAGACCACTGAGTCGACTCATGACCTCAACTCTTGAAATTACTACAATCTCCACAAAACCCTTTCTGATACAAATATAATGTTACCTAGAGAAGAGAAGAGAATCTGTGTGATCGATAAAGTTGATCGAGTGATTATTTCACGTCCAAAATTAAGATTAAAGCATAGAAGGTAACACAATATTGATTAATTGATTAGTTAACAAAATTATTTCTAAGAGAAAGAACATTAAAAAATAATTTCCATTTGTATGTTTTATTTTCATGAAATAATAAAATCAAACTGTTGATAAATTTGATTTTTCAGAGATGGCAAGAATTATTCGATCCTCAAAAAACAGGCATAATTACACTTTCAAAATTTTGTGATGTATTAGGATTGGAACTGGAAACTTTGTAAGTGATTCATGATACATTTTTGACGTTGACTATTAATATTTATGATGAGTTTACTATAGAGTCCAATATTGTATTTGCTTTGTTCGATAATCTATACTAAAATCACTCATTAAGACAATTTAAAACATGGGACTTCTAATGGAGGTTTATTTGTGAAAAAAATAATCAAATGGGTTAGTATCACACCGTATACAGTATTTCGCATTTCTATTAGAACAGGTACAAATTATATGATATAGAGGATTTTATGTAAATTGAGGTTAGAAAGGTTAGATTAGTGATTGTCATTGTAGCAACGCCAATATATAATAGTAATAATGATTAATCCAAACAATATGGTAAAAATTACCTAGTCCCCAATAAGTGAAATGTGGATTATGGAACGATTGGTTTTTCAAACTGTCTATACAAACCACAGAACTACAGTTTCGAAATATGTAGCAATCGTTTATACTTGGAGTTAGTTAAACTGTTTCGTCCTAGCACGGTATACTTCAGTATCAGAGATAGAGAGCGGTTTCTTAGAATCTCATCCTGAGCTCTTAATCTCTAAACTATTAGATCAAGCTATAATGGTTCAAAGTTCCAATGTTTTATCATCATCGTTCAGATTGTTCGAACAATGATTAATTCAATCCAACCTGATGTGAAAGTAAGACATTAAATATTATCTGGATCGTGCTTCATTTTATTGTTAACCATTCGAAAATATATCTACTGTAAATTACTGTGCAATTACTTACAAATCAACTCATCATTGAAATACCTGGTTTCTGGATAAAAGATTAAGAATTTTCAGAATTCAATTTCATTATTATTATTATTATTATTATCATTGTTTATTGAGTTAAGTGGATGAATCAGCATGGATTTTTCAATAGATTTAGTTAGTTGTCTATCTGTATCTAACTGTATACACATTATATTTATCCAAAATTCAGTTTTCATTCGGTTTTTTATTGTTTTCTTTATTAAAATGAAGTGAATTCGATAAGTGTTTACTTTCCTTCACATGTTCTACGTTTTGCTTAATACTTGCAATTCATATCAGTGAGTTAGTTCATTTGAAGTACGATAGTTTTTGAACGACTCACGTATTAAATAATCGAATTTTAAGATATCCACGTTACTTTTAAGACCACTAAAAACAGCTTTTTAATAATAATTTTAGACTCATAAACAGCACGGACTCACAGTTCAACACAAATGGTATGGACTAGGACGTACAGAGTTTACTAAGGCTACGAAACTGTTAGGTAACCAAGTTAGAACACGATGTCCTATATTTTTAACTGTAATGAATTTGAGATATAACCCTACCATTATCAAGCAGCATTGGTGAAAAATGATCCCATTTCCAAACTGTTTAGTTCTATAACAAAATTATTGGAAGATTCACTGAAGAACTAGCTTTGGTATGGATTTCTCAGACTTCTAATCTAATGCATTGAACTGTGGATTTAATGAAGTCATGGATTGAGACTGATTGTTTCAACAATGAAGTCGATGACAGTGGCGTTGTATGACAAATTAATTCACTTTAAAATGATGACCTATTATATTTAAACTAAATAGTTTAAAATTATCTTGTTCATCACGATTCATGAAATCACTCATTTCTATTCAGTGTATGATGACCGCCGTATACAACAGCGTTTAAAGCTACAATAAGAAAATCTATTGATTGTTCCTTGATATCCAGTATTTCTCAAACTGTTAACTACTATCTACAAAGTGAATTAATCTTTATCAACTACCTAACTAAACAAATCAATAAATTTTTGTGAATAAATAATATAAAAAATAAATGAATAAAGTCCACGTTTTAGTTTAAGCAGAAATATCAGTATCTAGCTGATTTATTATTAAAACTATGAAGTTTATCCTTTGATCAGTTAGTTTGCATATGTACAATCAACCATTTCACTGAAATCTCATTGCATTCATTTTGTTGTATACAAAAAGTTAAGCAATATTCGGTTTAATTTTATATGTTTTGATATACTTTTGAAAATACTTTTCAAGTGTCTAGTAAAATAATAAATAAATGTGTTTTTGAAAATAGTTTGACGAAATAGACTGGAAAACGAGATGAATTCGCTTGCGTAGATTTAATAATAATAATAATAATAATAATAATAATAATAATAATAATAATAAATGGTAATAATAATATATCTCTCCTTAGTCCGCCGAACTGATGGAAGCTTATCGATTATGTTAAATTAGAATAAGGATTGCATTTGAATGTACCAACATGAGTTATGGATGACTTGTACCAATCCACATAAGTATCAACTCAAACGTTAAATAATAAGCAACAATGTATTGTCGGTTTGAAACTTAAACTGCTCTGGAGAACAGTGTCTATAGGACGTTAGTTTGTTTAACTAATGACCAATTTAAAGAATAATAAATAAATTTTTGTTTACTCTGAAGAAGTAGCTTGCATTAAGTCACGAAACGTCAAAAATATATTTATCATTAACTCTCTACTCAATGCTCAATTTATCTCAAACTATCAAGTCCAACCTTCGTATTGATATTAGTAATTAAAATAAAATTATTCACAAGGCGACTTCTTAATTTTCATTTATATGATCCCACAGAGAACATATTTTTTAGTTCGGACAATTTTATGAATTATAGGATCTACTATAGATCAGGAAATAATGTTAGTTGAGAAATTATTTTAAATCCGAGAACACTGAACAAATACATGGTCCTAGTTTATTGCTTTTTGATCAGTGCACATACAGGTATGCTTATAAACGAAATGAAATCCAGTACCTTCATCTACATCTAATATTATTGTAATCTAACTTGAACCGCGGTAGAATTTTAAAATGTGGGTGATTAGGTTTAAGAAAAAAAGCTTCCAGTCACCCATTCAAGCATTAGCTGATTAGTTAAATAAAGCTCAGCCACCGCCCACCTCGACAGGTGATGTTGGCTAGTGTAAGGATTGGTTAGAACAAAGCTAGGTGTCGTCAGATTAGAAGTTGGTATAATTTCATACAATCATTAAATATTGAACTGAGGCAGTCAGGTAAGTTCAGAATTCTTGGTTAGTGTTAGTGAAATTATCGTAAACAATGGTTAGTTACCTTGGATGACATTTTTCAGAGTCCGTTGTAATGACATACATTCATCCACTCTTTGTCTTCCTTTATATCTACATTTTAAAAGTATCTAATGTCTTTTATTTCATTCTTTCTTGTTCAATCATATCGTACATATCTAACCTTTTTTTCCTGCAACTGATACTGTTCCTGATTCTACCATTTTGAGATTTGTCTTGATCATATCAGTTTGAACCGACGAAGATGTAGGTCAGGTTTTAAGGTTCTATCTGATTAACTGATTGTTTTAAGACTACGAGAATATAAGAATTAGTATTGTTAAATGCCTACGTGATTTATTCTAATATTTGGACATCAAATTCTTACTCATGATTTCAACCTGTGAAATTTCCTGAAATCTCCACAAAACTCATTCTGATGCTACCACCCATATATTTACCCTTGTCAATTGTTAACGTGTAAACTTGAGCATGTTTATACATGTGTATGTTAATACATGTTTGTCTATCTATTTCCTGTATTTCTGAAATAACTTCAATAACTGAGTCACTTTATTATTCTCTAAATCGGTGTATTACCGAACTTCAATGCTCCATGCAATCTCAGCATCCTTTATTATTTGTCTACCGTTCATAATAGAATGTCGGAAATATCTGTATCTTAAATACAATTCATGTTAGACTTTTGATGTACCATTGTTCTACACGTGTTAATTCAACAGAACACGAAGTAAACATTATCTATACTTTACTAAAGCCAATATAGTCCAATCTTTATGGATTCAGTCAAACGGTCTTTAAAAGAACACCATCGTCAACTGTTTTCCATGTTTTGATTGTTTTTTTTAATGGTTTTTTTTTCCAAAGAAAACTATGTTTCATTTATAAATTTTCTGACCCTATTTACAAGTGATGTTTTAATCTGTTATCCGCCTTTCATAGTGTGGGTATTTATTCATATGATCGTTGGAATGCTGGCATATTTTTCCAATTAATTCAAATGTTAGCTATCAAATATAGCCATTTCGTTTCCAGTGGGAAATTCACTTTTCTTTCCTTAGAAAAAGTGACATTTTGTTTGGTTTCAGTCTGAAATAACTAGGACACAAATGAAATAAAATGATTTTGCCAGGATTTTGTTATGCTTCAAGAGTGCTTTTTATCAGAAGAAACGGCAAAAACCAGTCGGCATTGTTTGTTGAGCCGAATTTAAATTCGTTTTTCTATTGTACTTAAGCCTTTAAAAAAAACACATCAATTTATATCATAATAATAATGCAACGTCATGAATTCACTTGTTTGATATAAATTCAACGATCATAGATGAACTGGACTACGATCGTAGATACAGGCTGGTTAAGCACAACTAAATGCTTCTGACTAGTGATTGAAGACTTTGGATGTTGGTGCTCAGAATCGTTCATAGTGGTGGATATTCCATCATTTGTTATCCTGTTATAAGTGTTGAGTAACTTGGTCTGCCTCATATTTGTCCTAGGTTCCGTTTAGACAATGACTGAATAACTAGATGGTCATGACATATCAAAAATCGGTTAAAAGTGATATTGTGTCCTACTGGTTTCCGTCTCAGTGGTAAAGAGACTTTTTCGTTATAACGCGTAAAATTAATATACTTCATTTCGTGTAAGTGTCTTTGATGTTGTAGTGTTCGGAACTTTAATTGAACATATAACCACTAATCTTGGATTATCTATCGTTCTCTAACTGATTTCAGTTTGTAACAAAAAACTATTTATAAACTGTGCGAATGTCAACATAAACAATAAATAGTTACAAAATGTTTGTTTGTGTTTTTTGTGTGTGGTTGGGTGATACATTCTACCGTTTAGACGATTCAAATATGTTGAACAAGAAGAATTAAAGGTGGCAACAGATTTACATTCTTCACTGGAAAATGTACATGAACTTCGAAAGAATGGTCAAACAAATAATCACGTAAATAATATAAATAATGCAAACAATGTAAGTGTATCTTCTGTAAAACTGCTTTCTTTTTTTGTATTTATTGAAACATGTGTGTGAAAGATATACGTTTTTGTACACATCATTCTATAAGGCTCGGTTCCATAGATTCCAACAACACTGGAACCAAACTCATAATATGTCGTAACGTAAATTTAGTAAACATAGTCTCGGTTGTGTTATAAAGCAAAACGCGTTCATGTTCTTGATGTAATACAGTATTTTTATGCTTATTAGTGTTGATACGGATGTAAAATGTTATAAGAGTGAGTCGGAAGTGTGCGAACGCAACATGATGTCCATAAATGAATATGAAAATAATGCTAATGTTTTAAAACTTATGTATACCTTGAGATGATATCTTTGAATGTACTTTTAAAGTACTAGAACTGGAGGCTTGTTTAATTGTGCAGCGCTACAGACTAACTAAATATGGAACTAAAAACTATTTAATGCCAACTCAGTTGTGTAAAGGTAATGCATTTGTCACAAGACCTCAATTTCTTTGGCTAACTCTAATAAGATTTTCGGTATACACCAAAGATTAGTTCCTTACTTGGACAAAACAGTGCTTTAGTACATCCTGGTTTCCAATAATTACCTGGTTTTGAATTGCTGAAGTACTCGTCAGATTCGTATTTTGCTTTACGTTTAAAAATGATCAGATTTTGAAATATTGATTTCTTGAATAGATAGCTTCCTTTTACAAGATATCTTATCGTAAATAAATATCGAATTAGAGTATTCGACTATACTACTTTTGGCCGTAAAACAGGGAGCTTGGTGAATAAGTAGCGTTCATATCTCTGACAAATCTCTGATAGTCATTTGTGAAATGTTTTATTTTTGCAAACATTTACTTTAATGTAGAAAAAGCGAGTTACATTAGGAATCTTTTATCATTCAAAACTGATAGAATGTTAATAAATGCATACAGTCGATGACAAAACAAAGAATCTATTATAATAGACCAGGTTTTTGGAAGCTGTTCCCATTAATTTTTCAATATATCAAGAAATGAAATCTATTGAAGAGCCATTCCAAATTCTAGGATACTGAATATCTATTACATTCAAGAGTGATATACTCTTTACTCAAGATTGATAATGAGTCTCTTAATAATTGTGATATAGTAGACAAGCAATAAGTACAATAAATGTTTTCTTATTTCGGTTAACTGATAAATAACTCATAGATAAATCTGTCTTATCATAGTGAAAATCATTTTAATAGACTTTTTCTAATACCTACTTAGTGTCATATAATTTATATAAAAATGCGTTATTTACCAGGAAAGAACAAGTGTCGTTACTGTATAGTTGTTTAGCTTTTTAATTTGCATTTGTTTGATATATTTTCAGTTTTGTGGAATAATCGTTATCAGTAACTATCGCAACAATTCTGAAATTCAGTTCCTCATCAAAGGCACTACACTTCTCTGTCATGATAGTTTCTCATCTCTAGCATCAATCGGTGTAGCTAGTTTCAATAAACTAGGTCATTATATACGATTTCATAGTAGTTACTGTTCATAAAAACCAATTTTATTTCATGATGTAACTCTTTGTGCTGATAAAGTCGAATTGCGTATATGAGTGTAATCTAGAACTTGAATTTTGTCCCATCTACTAACTTGTCAGTTGAATGTATCTATATTTTAGTGTTGATGTCCATATCGGGATTGGAACCCAGTGCCTAACGACATAAATACCTAGGCATTATTCACTAAGCTACTATGTCCAGTAAGATTACTACCGGACACAAACTATTACAAATAACTTTTAATTATAATTTATATTTTTTTAAAACTGTGATTGATTTCTTTTCATTCTGTCGACAAAAATAAATAAAAAATATAGGGATTACCAAGTGAATTAATCAAGCCAATTGATTATCAAGAGATCTCTGGTGATATGCCAGAAGAGTTGAAAGAGACAATCTTCACTATAGTTACAGAAGGTGAAGACATTTACCACAACAATGATAAAGTAAGTTTGTTTTATTATTGTTACTATTAGTACTATTATTCGTAAAGGTTTATGATTGAGACCATGAATCGATCAATATTAGACCACCTTTGAAAACCTGGAAGCATTGGACAACCATTTCGTCCTATATGTTGCTGATATTAAGAGCTGAATTTTGATTAGTCTCTGAAAGAGTAAACGGACTAATTGAAAAGTTCTTTAATTAATACTTATATTTAAAACTTAAGTATATTTTGAATAATTGCTAGTAGCGGAATCAAGGCAGTGGGTTTCTTCTTTTTGGGGCATATAATCTTGATGTAGCTATATCTTAACTCTAATGTCCTCATTACTTTAAACGTCAGAGGGTTTATTCAGTGGACTACTGAGTTACAAAAACCATCAAATTATTTTATGTGTGTGCTATCATTAGTTGTTTGTTAAAAGCCTACTGGAGGTCAATTTTTTATTGTTTTTCTATGGATAAAAATTTCATTACGTATACTTTGTGTTTGTGTTCATGACAGAATTCATTTTTCTTGAGTGTTGCATGTACTTTAAAAAAGTACCTATTATATGTGGGTACAGAGAAGTAGCGTATATACTTATCAAGTTATTTGTGTGCTGATTTGAATGTATCGGTAAAAAGTGTGACTGGATGAAGATTATTCAAAGGGAACTAAATGAATGGTTTAAATCCGTAATATAATAGATACGGAAATACAAGAAAACTGAACAACAAAACTTACTGTATCTCAAAACGAACATTAATATTAATAATATTCAAGATAAAATTTCACATTATTGTAAGTCACTGGAAATATAAATGGCTGTAGGAAAAATATTGTTAAAATTGCACATTAGAATCATTTAAGGAAGTAATCAGGATTTATTTTTTCCCATCACACAAAATCGGGTCGTACTTAAGCAAGTTATACAACGATATTTCGTGACTTAATGTAAACCTCTTCTTCAGAGTAAATAAATATTTATTTATTGGAGCGAATACTTTCAGAACTCATCTCTCTGTACTTCATTGTCTACTCCTAATTCTTCGTTTCCACTGATATTGTTTAAATTTCTTTGATTTTTATATTTTCCCATTATTTTCACTTTGTTGATGTATTTTTTTAAATTAATTAAATGAACTGACAAACACTTGTGTTAGGCTGTACAATGTGCTTGACTGATTAACTGTTTCGATCAGAGCTTCACTATATCCATTGCATAATGAATCTTTATGAATTAATAGACTATGAAACTTATTTACATAATTTAAAGGTTATGGAATATTTATAAAATCGTTCTCTTCAATTTCAGCTCAGTCTATTTGATGAATTTATAAGAAATCATTATTTCGACATTTTAAGGAGTAAGGATTTAGTAATCCACAATATTAAACTTTGTTAATATAGGACAGTAACTGGCATTTTTAAAAATGGGTTTGTAGGTAGTGATGAATGACAAGCATTCGTGCACATACATATTTTCAATATTCTTGCTTAATTGAATAAACTAGTAATCATGGATACTTTGAATTGGATTCCCTAATTAGGCATCAGTAGTTTAATTCACTACTGTCCATACGATTAAGTTCGTGCATACATTTTCTTAGTTTAATACAAACTATTTTTCACATAGACGTTTAAAATAACTTGAGTGGACAGGCTTTGTCATAGTATATCAGTTCTTTACATAAGATAATCTTCTTTTGAAGTCCTTCAACTGTCGAACTGTTTTTTATGTACTGATTAGTCTATTTTTATAAGTAATTTACATATAAATTCGTGACTGTATATAGATTTGACATTGCTGCACAAATGCATTCATAGTAAGGACTAATAGAGTTGCATAATTTTAGTTTGGTCTTCTATTACGTGAGCATTAAATTTTCCTGCTTCCCAATTCAGTGACTATTTATGGTTTATACGACGTGTAGAAATTGTGTTATATTAACATAACTATTTGAAGCAATGGGATTAATAGAATTTAGCAAAATAAAATAAAAGTCATATGTCATACTTATTTGGATCGTAAAATTTTACAGTTTGGCTGTCAGAAATAGGTTTAAAATACTCTTCAGTGAAACTCAATATTCATCTGAAGTCTCAATGAATAATCGGTTAATTTTAATGAAGACTTGGAAATGGATTTATAACTGCGAAGGTTCTCACTAGAGAGATAATGTACACATTTGACATCCTACGAATAGTTTCACAATGACTCGTTCAGTGGCATATATTTCCCAAATCAGGTTACACGAAACAATTCATTGGTCTCTTACTTTGAAATTAGTGATCTGAGTACTTTAATGAGGAAGAGGAAAATTATGTAGTTAACCTAGTCGACAATCAGAATAGGTCTCAATACGGTCATATGAGAATTATATAAGATGAAGTAAAGTATGAATCAAGTATGCTTACAACTGAGTTGTCCCTGAATGAGAATGAATCAGTTGTTCAATAGTACACCTTAACGTCTGATGCTGTTATTTAATGATGAAAAGTATTGCAGGATGTACGGTAGAACACTGACTGAGACTGATGACGTTTTATAAACTCTCACAGATTTCACTGGTTACTTTCATTAAATTTATGACTGAACATATTTAGTCAGTACATAATCTGTTAGGATGTAAATGGCATAGATTAAAATTCTTCAATGTATTATCGTAAACGTGTGGTGTGGCTATATGTCCCTGCCTATTATTGCCTAAAAAATCCTTATACATAGGCTCAAACACCAAGCAAATTATTGTGAGAGATATCAACAAATACATTGTTTGATGTAATTTTAGTCGTTAATAAGTGAATGAGAAGACCAGCGCTGTTTAAATTCCAATACAAACTTAGCTGAATTGATGATTCCGAGTTGATTAGTTAATTGAAACAAACTAAACTTATCGTAAGTTAATGATAAGCGGGTTTTTTTAGTTACAACATATTTCCCAATCTATGCTATGATTTACCAAATCTGTATTTAATTAAGCAAACATTTTAGCGTGAAAAATGATTTTGACCCTTTGATTTTAATTAAAGTGAATTGTTCTTTCTAAATTACTTCTAAATTCATAACATAAAGAAGTGATTCCAATAAAATTCGTTCAATGAAAAATTACCGAATTCATTCAAAAATGTATGGAATACAAAATAGACTACTTGTGAATAAGCACATGAAATTCTCTAAATTTTATCAAGACGTTAATGAACAAAACGAATATTTCAAGACATAAAAGTTTTGGAATTTTCTCACTATTATGTTTGGTAAAAATTGTACACTTCATTGAAGTAATAATTTGTAATCCGTCGTAAATTGTTTTGATGAGGAAATCGATTTCATTTCATGTAAAATGTAGTTAATAACAGATAAAACAAGACTTAGATACAGATTGAGATGAGCTGATGATTAATGCTTGTTTCAAACTGCATTAGGATTAATGTATACCAAAATAAGAACCTGCAGTCTATTTTACAAATATAACAAATTTAAACGTATATTTACTTGGTGTTGTTTACTTGCATCTTCCCGCATATGTGTACATCCCGTGCTAACTGCCTCGATATTGCCTGAAGTCACAAGCTTTATAAGCAAAGATGGATAGTGGCTAGCAGTGGAATCCGGGAGGCGCGCTCTGTCCTATTTGGGACTCGTTAGCTGGATGTACATGCATCTCGGAGTTGACGTGCACTCTGGGACTCGAACCCAGTACTATTTGCTTCAAACGCCATCGCATTAGCCACTTAGCTGCTGAGTCCTGATAGTCACCTGCTTGTGCAATGGGGTGCTAGCCACTATCCATCTTTGCTTATAAATGTAAACTTGATTTATTCCGTTGAGAATCGATTCGTTTGTTTGGTTTATTCCTATTGAATTATTGTCTCATTTTTCAACACAATAATATGACTTAATTGATTCATTTTACTTGACATTACTTGTATTTTAAATACGTTTTATTACTTTTTCTTGTCACTTCTGTAGTCTAGGGTAGTTAGTGATAAATAAACTGGTATTCTCAAGTATATCAAAACACTCAAAATTAGGCTATACGAATGATTATGTAATAGAAAGTTTATAAATTGAATCAAAATAGCATTGAATTAGATCGACTTCATATAATATCTATAGTCTGTTTAACAATTAAATAATCCAAAGATAGTTTCTTTTAGTAAACCTTCGAAAATGGAAGTTTTTAAAACTAGGAAGTATAAGATAGTTCTGTTGTTATTTGAACTCAAGATTTTTCATGAATGAGAACTCATGAATCAATAAAGTCTAAGACCCTTTGGCACAGATCTGCCAGTGAGTTGAAACTCAAGAACAATAAGGAGTGCATTCTGGCCAGTGTCGTCTGTTGGTATTAGCTTTGTTTTTCTATAAGCTGACTTGGTTTAGATGAATGTCAACATTAAATTTTAACTTTGGAACAATCTACAGTAAATCCAAACAGGAATATTCAAAGTAGGTCACTGTAGCAGAGTTTTAATATGCAAAAAATCGACATTCAGGTTTGTTTCGATTCCCATGTGCATACGCCGGGTCGTGGATTTGCACAGGTGGGGAGTTCACTACTAAGATGAATCGGCTATTCAGTGCTTCCAGGTTTTCAATGGTGGTCTACCAGAGACTGGTTCATGATTTCAATAAATAAAGTTGGTAAACTTTCACTGAAATTCCAAGACCAAACAAATACATGTGCAAGGCTACTTTGAAAGCGGTACTATAAATATTGGCGGAATTCAAATGGTAAGCTCTTATTTCGGCAGTTTATCAAATGAAACTCGCTATGTAAAAAATGCGATTATAGGATAATTTTCAATCATCAATAATATCTGTCCAGCTGTAAAATAAAAAATAAATCAATGAAAATATTTAAAACATGATGAAGGCTTTTGAAATTCAGGCCAACTAATTCCGTAACTGTTCAACATCAGACTAAAGTAATCGGTAAGATTATAATTTAGGGACGACATTTGAGTGACGCTAAAGTGACCCTGAGAATCGCTATCTACAGACTAGGACTAAATGACGGTTGTAAAGCAGTGTGAGGAAATAGAATTATGATTTACAGTTGATGGTTAGTGTTAGGAGCTAGATTTAGAATTTTTATCACAAACCGACATCAGCTAAAATGCCATCCATTGATTTTGACTGTTATGTTGAATGAAACTATTTTGGTATTTTTGTGGGAGAATTGTCTCCCATGGAAAATATCAGATATAGTTTTACTAAATAGTGCAAACAAAATTCATCAAAAACCTCCATGCAAGCATTTCATGGTGATAGATATAATTTTCATGATTATGAATAAGAAATATATTTTTAAATGATTGCTTTACAAGTTGTTACAAAATGTTAAGCGTTCACGCTCGAGACTGAAGGCCTTGGGTTTGAATTCCGTGAGCGGGATCGTGGATGTATACTGTTGAGGAGTATCACAATAGGACGAAACGGCTGTCCAGTGCTTTCAGATTTTCAATGGTGGTCTAACATCAATCAGTTTATGATCTCAATCAAAAACCTAATAATCTCCACAACCCTATACTGTTGATTTAATTTATTTTTCAATATCTCTGTCACTTAGAAAGTTATTCTTTTGGAACAATTAGGAGATTGTTGATATTTTCGAAAAGGAAAACAAACAAAAAAATCTTTACCGGATATTTATGAATTTAAAAAATAATAGACGATTAGATATTGTAATTGATGGATTCACTAATTCATTCATTCATTCATTTAAACAAATTTAAGTGAATTTAGTTTCATTCCCAATATAAGGTAGATGTACAATATTGCACGCAAGTACCCACATACATTTTCAGTGCATTTTATCAGAGCTAAATGGTTATAGAATAATAACTGTGATAATATTTAGTGATATCATTCATTAAAAAAGTCTTTCTAAGCATACTTTTGATTGATTGAACCTTAGTTAGTTGACTGATTGTTTATGAGTTGTGTACAATTTGATAGATTGATAAATATACCCAATTAATTGATGTATGAGATGATAAAAATTGATCAAACTTTAAACACAAGCATTATATCATAAGTTGTTTGAGACCAATCAATAGAAAGGTAGCTAGCTTCTGGTTATTTTAAGATATTTACTACCTAAAACAAATAAAAGCCCCTCTCATCACTTTGTGTTAATCAGAGAAATACCTCATTGAACTGAAGTAGGTCACATTTGAGCTCCGGAATTCAGTTGGCTTAAAGAAAGGACTATAATAATATCACACTTCCTACTTCTTAGTGATACATCAGTAAAAAGCTTCGCATTTAAGTGAAACTCTTACCTACTAACCAAACATACAATATTACTTCACAGATTGAAATCATGAGTCAGTTGAAGCTAGACCACCATGGGAAACATGGGAGCACTGGACAGCCGTTCCGTCCTAGTACGGGACTCCTCAGCAGCGCGCATCCACGACCCCGCACCCCGCGGGGTTCGAACCCGGGGCCCACTGGTTCCGCGCGCGAGCACTTAACCACTAGACCACTGAGACGGCATCCAATGGTGTTAATGTCTAACTTCAACCAATCCACGAAGTTGCGCCACCGTATACCATTGTCTTCAATATTATCATTTGATAACATCAATATCAATCAGTTTATTTGAATACATTTAGGGGAGCTATTGCAACAGATCAGTCATACACAACGTTTTAATTTTAAAGGTTCAAAACAAAATATGTAAAAAATGTTTTACAATAGCAGTTGAGCTTTAAAGGTCTTGGAACAGTTCTACTTTTACCCACCAGAGTTCGTAAAAAATCTGTAATGTACCTATGCTTGTCAAATAACTTATCAATTATATATATATTCATAAATCAACAATCGATCGATGTATGGATAGGTGACATTGTGAACATCAAGACAATAAATCTAATTAAGAACTCATCGACTTAGATTAAATCCTTGTCTGTACCACAAATGCTTCATAAATCTCACTTACTTTTATAATTTGAATTATTGTGATCCACAGTGAAATTGTTTTGGTAGATCCCTAATTTTATTTTGAATTTTTCTTCAGGAACTAGTTAAATGGATCAAATTACGTTTGGACAAGCATTATAAACGTTTATGGCATTGTGTAATTGTACGAGGTCAATACTCATCATTCTATTCTTATCAACCAGGTTATTCATTTTGTTTCCGTCATGGACCACGTGTATTTCTATTGTTTAAAACACCGAATACTTAAAAGAAATTATTATTTGTATGTTTGCTTGTGTATTTCTAATCGTTTCTACATATCATCATTGAAGTCATTTAACCGCCCACACATTCTTAGCAACGACAGCAAAGTGAACAAGATATAGAATGAAACATACCGGATCTACCAATTACGATTTATTTTAATGCGGTTGTATAAGTTAAAACAAAAGAAAACCTTCGCTCCTAACCGAGCTGTAATTCTTTAATCTTTTTGTTTAACATGGAATTTTTTTCTAGTTATTACTTTGGTTGTTTCGCTTTACATGTTATACTATTCTTAGCACAATTTCCATGGGATATCTTAGAATTGATGGATTGTCGTGTGCATTTCTAATAGTTTATTTAACTTCATCCAGTAATGAGGCGTGAATATAAACTAGAATGAATTATTTTATTGCATACGTTTGTATTTGATCATAGATCTAAAAATACATTTGTAAACATTATCCTAAGTAGTCATTTGACCTCAAAATCTGACGTTCCTGAATGAGGTTTTTTCAGATTTTCTTCAACATTGATAGACAAGATAGTGAATATTTCTTCAACTTGAAGATATTATACTTTAAAGCCGTTAATGTATGAGCGTGGGCGCAAATTTGACATAATATTCATAGTTGTTCCCTGGAGATACATTTATGTCAGGCTGAAAAAAATGATATCAATCATGTTTCCGGCAAGAACAAAAACACTGTTAAAACTAGAATCTTATCTGTGATTCAAATGAGTGGGACGTTTATTATATTTTTAAATCTGTTTGTTGAAAAAAATTAAATAACAAAGGTTTATGGTCTGGAAATGCGGTTGTCATCTAGTTTTAGCTTCTAATCCTCATCACTATCTGCCGATTTTAAAAATATGTCGTTTATTAACTACGATAAAATTGAGTTGTTGTGTAGTTAATTTACATTACCTCAATTACTGTTACGCTAAGTTAATGTAATCTTGCCCAAGTACAATGTCGGTAACAAGCCTGAAGTTCTAATTGAACGTTATCCCATGTATATATCTCAATGGTTAGTTAAATATGTAAAACCAATTTTAGCATACGGTATGATTGTAAATAAGATTATGAATGAGAAATCCCACATACGCGAAATTTATTTTCCCACAATTACAGAGATTTTCTGTTATTAAGTAGTCTCTCCATGAATACTTTAAATATTGCACTGGTAATCATGGATATAGTAGTCACTTCGTACATAACCACTGCTTGTTTAAATCAACTTTATTTAGTCTTTGACGTGACTTTCGGATCAGCAATGGTTTTTGGGTTGACCGGGATTAGGAAGAGGATAATGAGTTGTCGTATCTCTAGTATGTTGAAATTGAAGCCAATAGTTTCTTATCACACATATAGAATCAATAAGTAGGGTATTGTGTTTATACTTGTATTCTCTAAGATTAGTCTTTTAGAACACATGGAACTTCATACTAAGGTTCTACGTTTTGTATTATAAGTTACATACTCAGCAACGTTATACATATAATAATGATTGTTTTTCAGTCTCCTAGTTGCAAAATATTCCAAGTAACTAATTTAGCCAAATACTGAGTAGGTCATTTGACTGACTTACAATGAATATGAATCGTGCTACGAATATTCAATAAAAAATGTAAAGATAATTTACAGATTAAACAACATTATTTTTAAATCATAGCTGGCAATAAAATTCACAGTGTAAGTTTCATTCTATTTCTAACTTATCAAATAGATTTAGTTGGATCTTCATAATGAAATCTCAATCCTGTGTCTACCACCCATTCGAATAATTAACATCACGCTGACTAGACATGTAAGTGGCCTTTTGTTTAGAGTAGCAGTGAATAAATTCTATCATCAGTGCAAATATCAACACTTAGATTTCAGTACATTCATACGATGAGACTACAAAAGACCAACTGTTCGTTACTAACCCCATCGAAATGTAAAATATAAAACATTCAACTACATTTAGTACTTAAGAATCTTCGGCTTCATCAAATATCCTAAAAGAGATCGATCAAAATTTTAATATTGAATATTAACAACGTAAAAAACTCAATCACTTATGAATAATAAATAAAATTATTTCATGTTCATAGTTCCCTTTTTATTAGATTAGAAAGATCAATAACGATGATTTGTGTTGAATAATATAGATTCATGAGTACCATGCGGTTTTCATACAAAAATTTGACAAAAACATCAAAGGCTATTTTAACATCTCCACAGTAGGAAAATAGATAAGTCGGCGGCTTAAGCAGGTCGCTAGGCGTAATAACTAGGAGAAAAACAAACCATATCAAGTACATAATTATGAAATGTATCAGAGAAAACATTAAATATTAGCAGTAATAAACAAACTAGTTTATGAATTATTTATATATATATATGTATTTCTTACTAGAAATAGGAATAGTTCTTTGAAGAAATACTTATATGTCGATTGATAGTTTTTTATACATAGCGCATAGAAAAAGGGAAACAGTAATTTTACCGTTTTAATAACGAAAAGAGGAATATATTTGGTGCACATCAGAAATTCGTTTGAAGAACGTATTATTATTATTATTAACTTGACGGACTTACAATAAACAATAACGTGCTATAGTTTTATTCTCGATGAACCTCTTCAAATTCGTTAATGGTTACACTTATACAAAAAATTTTGAAAATATATGTATCTATACTCATTGTAAAATATTACTTAAAACGGTCAGGAAGTTCTTGTACTAGAAGGTGTAACATCATATTATTTTAATGTAACAGGTTTAGATAGTAAACAATATTGAAAAAAAGCAAACGTTTCCTTTTTTAATCATAAGATATATGCAACACCATGATTGCGAAATCCTTCTTTTTATGTGTATATGTATGTGGTGGTGTCCAATTTATCTAAATGCAGCCATGATTTGGTTATCTATTGAAGTATGAACACTTTTGATGCGGGCAAATCAAATATAGTCTTAAAATAATGAAAAAACCGATGAAGTAATTTCAAAGGATAGAAACTAAAATGGTATGAATTAATTCAATTTAGAGTAGGATGTTGTTTGCTTTATGCTTTTAATCACTAAGTAACACAATGAAATGAGACGAAAAGTCATCTACTATCTAACAGATATGCTCAAGTGTAAGAAATTCTAAACATTGTTTACAGATGATATGTAAACCTCTACCACAGTTTAGAAATCGAGTTGTTCTGTAGTAAACATTAATCAAAGAAATCAATTGTGGCCTGTATTGAGTAGTAATTAGTTTCAAGTTAAATGATGGGAGACAATGTCTTGGATGCAGTGAATCTATTTTGCATAACATTTACCACTAATAAACAAAGTGTATCTACAATTCTGAGGAAAACTGATACTTTTTTGTACAATTTGGACTATTATGCACTAGTGTTATTTGTAGAGACAATATTACTGCAAATATTACTCACTACAAGCTTTAATATGACTCAAAATAGAAAACGCATATTGCAGCAACGAGACAAATATTGTATAGAATACAGATACAGACAAGCACACATGACATGTATAAGCGTAGAATTACAAGGACATAAATGTAAGAGGTATGATATTGAAGGTCATAATTTCCTGTGGATAGAGTATTGTTATTAGGACAATAAACATGACTCAAACAGTCACATGCTGTCTGGGTTATTAAAGCCTATCGAAAAACTAGGATGAGTCACGCGTGTACCAAATGTTAAGAACGTGGATCCTAACAAAATATTACATTTCAGGGAAAAAGTAGTTACTAGAGTGTAAGGTTATCTCATCAACGCAGTCTCGTTTTATTTCCCATCATCATAGTTATCAGCACATCAATATACAGTAAATACCAACACCGATCCAAATCCCTCACGTACCACTTGGCCGTGGACTGGTATGTCTGCATAAAGCAGTATGTCATCTTTCCTTGCTAAAAAGTTATTCTGGTGTTTTGGATTTATCAGGAGGAATTGACGGTGGAAAATGTCAGTTTATTTAATTCATTTTAGTCATTTGATGGGCGGTATTCGTAACGGATTTACATGAGCTTTAGGCTTGAAGTGTTGACATCAAAACAACACAAAAAGAACCGTTTCTACTATAATATATCATAATTTGTACTTTAGTAAACACTTAAGAGAACACCTCAATTGAAAAACATTGATTTATTATATCAAAACTTCATTTTATACGAGCTATCATGAAAAGCTCTTAATAAATTCAATAAAAGTACAAAATGGTTGACTTTCTCTACAAATTATAAACATGTATAGTAAGCATAAGCTAATTTTTCTTTATTTAATTGGCAAAGATTCATGTAGGTAATTTAATTTTCCTGAACTAAAATCAGTAACACATTGTCCATCTCCATGTAAAATCCATTTAGTTGTTAATAGTCCTTCAACTCCAACTGGTCCGCGAGCATGAATTCTCCCTGTGTTTATGCCAACTTCAGCACCTGTTTTTAAAAATTAAGACAGTAATATCTATATTTTGATTTTAATAGACATAATTCACATGATAAAATAATCATTCAATGAAACACAATAATCTTCACAACCTCATAGTGAAAAGAGGTTTACTCAGATTGAATTTCATTACTGGACGTTGTTTCGATATCGCTAAATTTGTCCAACAACAATTCCTATGTTTCAATTACAGTGCTTGGATTTATTTCATTTCAAGCCATTCAATTATTTGCTCAGTCCGGATATACATGGTTCCATAGGAACGGCAAGATAACCTTAGTGTTGAGTGAGTTAAAACTAATGACTTGTAACTAACTGGTTGTATTAAGCAGATTTGCATGTCTCATTCGTATTAATTGGAAATTGCTTAATGGATATTGTTTTTACGATATAGCGTTGATTTTATTTTAATTATCAATCCACGTTAAGGAACGACAATAACCAGTCAAGATCGAGGTCTACAGGACAAGCTGTGACTGATATGTTGAGAGATTCGAACACTTCATTTCTACCTGAAGTTTGTGCTGATGATGTTGTTCAGAAGAACAATGAAAACTCCACGACCAAACCATCCAGCTTAGAGAACGAAACTCTAACTAGAACAACGTTATATTGGATTCGCCTCTTGATCTAACCGAAATGTACAATAAAATCGTAAACAATAGTTCACTTCACTGATTATATTTAGATACATGTCTAGTCACATACCTGATCTGTACGTAATGTGGAAGTACTATATATATATAATGCAGTAAACATATATACTTACCTAACCCAAATCGGTAACCATCAGCAAATCTTGTACTTGCATTATGAAAAACGCATGCGCTGTCTGTTTTTTGAAGAAATATTTCGGCTGTAGCTTCTAGATATTCAAAGAGAAAAAAGTGAGAGTTATATAGTTAAGAATTTGATTTAGTAACTATCTGACAGATAAGTCAGTTCAATGGATATATTAGAGCATGTTAAATATTTACAGTGTGGTCTATTTTGATTTAGACTGATGCGGAAGAAATGGTGTTCTAGAAACTATTGCTTCGAAGCAGATTTTAAAATTCGTTATCACGAAATTCATACGAAGGTTAAATTTCTAGGTACCTCTATTTGAAAATCATTCAACAATCAGTGAATCTTCATTTATTGATAATACGAATGGTTTGCGTAAAATAAATAGAGTCCAACACAGTGATAGATTACATGATTAGATAAACTCTGCTCTAGCTAATTGACATGCTTTATATTCTGTCGTTTTGTAATTCATATATTCAAAAGAAACAATCCACCAAGCTGGTACAAGTCATCAGTGATATAAGAACGTTGATGATCTTAGTTTTGTGGATTGCGTTATTTATTTTATTATTACTTTCAGTAGTGTAATGTATGATTATTGTCCATTACTTTCAGTATTCAATGTTTCTTTACTAAGTCATTACCCGCCTGGAGTCCCTCCGGGGGCTACTGCCGGTCGCAAGCCCGGATAAAGGAGGAGGGTTGGGCATGGGGTTAGCGACCTCATCCCTTAGAAAACCAACTCGCTAAAAAACCCTAAACAGAAAATACTGTTCAAACAGAATGATTCACGTATGTAATAATTCAAATATGCTGAACCAAAATTTATTTTAGGTCAAGATGTGAGTTTATCAAAGGTTAAACATTATGAATAAAAGCATTGATATGTTAAGATAACCTTTCAGATATATCTAATATCGCAATACTAAGAATACAATTATCCATTATGAATAAATGTTTTGCATACTTCCAGTCATTAGTTCTAACTCACTAAATACGTCAATTTTATCTAGCAATTTCAACTCATATAGAATAACCGTGGCTTACAGGCATTTTGCTAAAATCTTTATTTGGATTTATTTAGGTGTATTCAATTACTTGGGCGAGAAATAGTGGAACTTATGAATCAGGTTATTAAACTAACATAAATGTAACTAACAATCAGGTGTAAAATCAATGCGAAATACGTCTGCATCAATAATATAGATTATTTTTAAACCTATAGAGTAGTAAACATATATTTCATTTAGTTAAAAAGTTATCGATGATGTGCTCTCTGTCAAAGCTTGTATAGACAGTTACATCCACTATGTGAAACGACTATAGTCAGTATTTTACATTAAGTATTTTTATATAAATAAAGTGTGGTCAGAGTTTTAACGTAGCGGATAAAGGTGATTTTCAGAGATTATTATTCTATCGTTTGTCTTAGACAGAGATGACTTAATTTGTTCGGTTCAAAGATTATAAATAAGTACAGTTCATCATCTAATATCTTACC